TACAATGGACACATCCGTCACTTGATGGTTATCTATGCCTTGGACATCAACAGAACGGTTTGTCTTCGACAGGATGATGACATCATCACCAGCAATTCCACCATTGGCTCCTCGATCACAGAGACCTGGTACGCCAAAATGGGACTCACCGAGCACCATTTACGAACACTAAATGACGCACAGTGTATTCTGATGTTGGGATCCTATGCTCGAGAGGTAAAGATGGGCAATAATAGCCACAAACGTACCGACTTGTCAGCTGATACTATTTGAGGTTATGTAAAAGCCGGCCACATGCTGCTGGAACTCATGTTGGGCCGCGATATCAACATTCTTGATCAGAATCATGGTGGCAAACGCAACAAACATCATCCGTTCATTGGTCAACAAATCGCAGATCGTCGCAGATGGTACAAGCCTCGCTCCTGATATGAACCTTTTACGGTTGACATCTTCAATGTTCTTGCTGCTGAGATTAAGAAGGCATCTGATTCATCCAGGAGTTTCTTGGGCAAAGTTCATTGCGTCTATGGTTGGACTCGTCTAGGCGTGTTCACGGGTTTCCGCATTGGGGAATATGGTCAGAACCGCCCACATTCTTTCAGTTGCATTCCACATGATTTTCTCAATGTTCCTGTCGAATTTCATGGTATGCCCTTGGCAATGATGGAATGTGACTTTCAGTTTTTCGACAATAACTTTGTTTTGATCCCTCATGCGGATCTGGAAAGTCGCCATCGACAGGGTGAAGTGCTTTGGCTTGAAATCCGTTGGCGATACGATAAAAGTTCCAGCAACTTCGTCCTAAAGAAATTTCAGTGGACTGGTCATCCAATTTTCTGTCCTGTGGACGCGGCAGTCAGTATCATTATTCGAAAAACACTTCTTGGTGTTCCATATGATCATCCTATTGGGGTCTGGCATGACACTACACAAAGTGACTCTAACTATCAATTTGTGATCGGTAACGACGTTTCTACTGTTATGCGAAACGCCTGTGATTTGGCTTACCCAGATCCAAACCATTACATGCGAATTAATCGCAAAAGAATTGTGCCCCATTCCAATCGTGTTACAGCAGCAGTTTGCTTACAAAAAGGGGGTGCTGAGAATGACAAGATCGCGTTCAAACTACGCTGGCATCCGACATCGGTCCCCACCTATTTACGCGAATGCTTTCAATCGATTGGGGCTACTCTTGAAAAAGCGATTGCAGGAGTTATGAAGGTGACATTTGCCTCTTCTCCTCCTACTTAAAAATCATCGCTTCCTTTCTTCTGGTTCTCCTTTCTTCTTCTTCTTTCTTTGGTTTCTTCTTTCTTTGTTCTTCTTGACTTCGTGTCCTCTCTGGAGTTTCGTGTGTTGTGGTGGTTGGTGGATTACTCCTTTCTCATCCACTTGTGGCAGACAAGCAAGTCTCAGATTTCACGTCTTACGGGAAATCTGAGACTGGTCCTTTGAGTCGCACGCTTCGCGCGCAACTCAAAAGGACCAGCTTCACACCACAACCCACCAGAGTCACTCCAAGAAAACACCAAGCAGAAGAACCCGAAAAGAAGGCGCCAGTTGGCTATCTTCGATAGTCTAACGTAGACGGAAGAAAGCGGTCGAACCAATGGACTCAATAGTGACTCCATGAACGACGGTAGGGCGACCGTCATCTCAGTATTGCACCAGCAACCTAAGTCCGATCTACACATATCGAACTTGTGTGCAAGTATACTGACAGAAAGATAGAGTTATTTCTTTCTTTCCCATCCCACCACACCCTGTTGGGCCTTGACACGATTGTTTCGTGTCAAGGCCTGGCAGACAAGCAAGTCTCAGATTTCACGTCTTACGGGAAATCTGAGACTGGTCCTTTGAGTCGCACGCTTCGCGCGCAACTCAAAAGGACCAGCTTCACACCACAACCCACCAGAGTCACTCCAAGAAAACACCAAGCAGAAGAACCCGAAAAGAAGGCGCCAGTTGGCTATCTTCAATAGCACAAGCACAATAATAGGAAGAAAAATTCGAATGGAGGAAATTCGAATGGACAAGGGAAACAAAACAAGTCAAACAACAATAAAAATGACGGAGCTCAGTTTTTGCAACAACAAACTCAAGCGTGTTTTGTGTGCAGATCCAAAGATCATGTCGCACCTCAATGTGCGGACAAATTGAAGCCGCGGGAACAGTGGAAAAACCCGGACAAATTTAGGGATTATTCGGACGAGAATGGTTGTGGTGATCAACAAAATATGCAACGTGATGAAAATGCAACGCGTGATGATAATGAATCAGGTGATTCAAACACGCAATGGAACTATGGACGTTCCATAAATGGATCCCATGAAGGACAACTTATTCAACAAGGACATACTTATGATGATACAAGACCACAAGGAATGATGTTATTCCAACTCAACAACTATCATGATATCCACTTGGACAGTGGATCTACTTTTCATTTGCGAACCAATGAAAATGACTTTAAAGAAGGAACTCTACAAGGAATTCATGGAGGATTCCATTATGCCTCTAATGTTGAGGGAAGAGAACTTTATCAAGAAGGAATTGATAAGGTATTTGATTCTGTTTGTAAGCTTGACACACGAGCTAGCGACAACATCAACAGTTTGTCAAATATGGTACAAGATGGATTTGATGTATTTATGGACACAAAGAGAGAGAACAGCTTCTCTGTGACTAGAAACGGGACTACATGGCGATTTGGACATTGCAATGGATTATATACTTTGGTTGACGAACCTGCTCTGGTAACAACAATGTTTCATGACCATGGACTTGATAATAATGATGTGCAAGGGTACTGTGCGCTACAGAGTGTGGAGAAGAACAAAGAGGGTTTCACAAACAAACAAGTGAAACGAGCAAATGTTGCACAAAGTGGCTATCATATGATGGGAGCACCTGGTGCAGAACTATTCAAGGTGGCGATTTGGGGAAATTTTTTCAAAAATTGTCCAATTACGGAGGAAGATGTTAATATCTCTGAAAAGATATATGGACCAAGCGTTTCAACAATTAAGGGCAAACAAAAGCGACCAACCAAAGGCGGTGGTTGATGATTGGATCAAAATGCCCAAGGAACTACTGAAACACAATTCGAACCTGGATTTATGCATCAACATTATGTTTATCAACAATGTCGCGTTTTTTGTCAGTATTGACAAAGCAATCAAATTCCGATTCAGCACTGAACTGAAAGATCGGACAAAAGATGCCATTTACAAGTCGATTGACGAAATTTTCCGCATTTATCATCATGCGGAATTTTGAATCAAAACTATTTATTGCAACAACAAATCCAAACCGGTATTTGATGACGTGAAAGATAATATGGATGTGACCATGAATTATGCCGCGCCAGGCAAACACAAACCAACTATTGAGCGCAGCAATCAAACATTGAAAGGATTATTCCAAGCACACTATCATTGAATGGTGTTCAAGGCAATTCCCAAGGTTTTGACTATTGCTTTACTCAAGCATGTGACAAAGGTTATTAACTTTTATCCTGCAAAGGAGGGACTTTCGAAATATTACAGTCCACATATGATTGTGAGACAAAAACCGGTGGATTTTTCAAAAGAATGTGTTGCTGAAATTGGATCCTTTGTACAAGGATATGGTCACACGAACAACAACAGTCAACAATCAAGAACAATTGATGTTATTTATCTTTGAATAAATGACAGCATACAAGCGGGACATATGTTACTTGATCTTAATACAAAAAAGACAGTAACAAGACCCTTTGTAACAGTACTTCTGATCACCAAGCAAGTGATCAAAATTGTGGAACAAATGGCATACAACAAAGGCGTTTGTGATTTGAGTACTTATCATTGGAAGAATGGTGAAATCATATTGGATGGTGATTTGCTTGCAGGAGTGGACCAAGATGAATTGTGGGATGATACATATATTCCATGCAAAAATGAATACAAACGAAGCAATGAGAATCTTTGTATTGAAAAGATTGATCAAGATGAAATTGAGCACACCAAAAATGTTGAAGAACAGACAGAAGACAGGAGTGTTGCAAGTATTTATGAACGATTGAGACGGAGAAATGATGATGATAATTCCGATCAAGATCCCAATCCAAATGAAAAATATCAGAATGATGAAGATTTAAATGAAAAGATTCAAGAAATTGAAGCAGACATACAAAAAGACAAGGAAAATGTCGAATCACTTAACAATGAAGAACAAATCGAGGAAACCCGTGAAACATATGAGGAAAATGACAATTTAATTGATCGAATTCAAGATGAAATCAAAGAATGTGAAAATCAAGTCAATGATGTTTGCAAATCTGTGGCAAATTTGGATGATAATGAAAATGAAAATGATGAATCTGACGATAATTGGGACGAATCAAGTGACGATGATAATTGAAAATGATGAAGTGAATAAAGAGGACATATTCAGTCCAAGGAAAACCAGGAGTGGTAAATCTCATGTGCAAGATGGAAAAAAAATGAGACCAACCAAACGTAATAATTGGGATCAACCAAGGTATAATCAACAATACCTGAATTGAAAGAAACCGAAATGCAATTTGTTAAAGAACAGGAGTGCAATGAGAAAAAAGGAAAAAGTCAAGAAATTAAAAGGTTATTTGAGTGAAATAATTTCAATGAAGGAAAATTCAAGGAAAAGGATTGAGTATTGCAAGCCATGTACAAGATGTTAGAGGCGTCTATGCTCTGGTACAAAAAGTTGAGAGGAGACATGGAGAAACATGGTTTTGTTTTCAATCCATACGATGGATGTATTGCCAACAAGATTGTGAACCGCAAACAACAAACTATACGATTTCATGTGGACGATCTATTATCAAGCCACATTGATCCAAAAGTGAATGATGATTTTTGTAAATGGATGAATCAAAAGTATGGTTCAATCAAACCAGTCAAATCCAAGCAAGGAAAAATTCACAAATATTTGGGAATGACCCTAGATTTCAGTAAAAGGGGGAAAGTCAAAGTTCGAATGGATGACTATGTTAATTGAATGTTGGATGAATTTCCTGTGAAGTTCAAGGAAAATGAAGGGTGTAAGACACCAGCAAGTAACAATTTGCTATCAATCGGAAAAGGAGAAAAATTGGATGATGAGAAACGTGAAACGTTTCACACATTCATTGCCAAAGGATTATTTCTGAGTAAGAGAGCAAGATTGGATATTGCTCCAACTATTTCAGTACTTTCTACAAGAGTACAGAAACCAAATGAAACTGATTGGAAGAAGCTAGTGAAGCTGATGTATTATCTGAATGGAACAAAGGGAATGCACCTGACGCTGAGTGCAAAAGATTTACGAACTTTCAAATGGTATATTGATGCATCATTTGCAGTTCATCCAGATTTCAGAAGTCACACTGGAGGTGTATTGACTATGGGTGAGGGAGGATTGCAAATAATCTTGAAGAAGCAGAAATTGAACAGTCAAAGTTTGACAGAAGCCAAATTGATTGGTGACAATGATGCTGCAACACAGATATTGTGGACAAAATTGTTTGTGGAAGCACAAGGTTATCCTGTTGAAGAGAACATCCTATACCAGGGTAACAAGAGTCCTATTCTATTGGAAAAGAATGGACGTGATAGTGCCGGAAAGCGAAGCCAAGCTTTGAACATTCGATATTTCTTTATGACTGATCAAGTCAAGAAAGGAAATGTGACTATTGAATATTGTCCAACTGAAAAGATGTGGGGAGATTTCATGAGCAAACCTCTACAGGGACAAAAATACTTGAAAATCAGATCATTTATTCAAGGAGAACAAGATTAGGAGCAACACAATTTCCTTTGATGTTCCGTTGTCATCAACTATGTAAATGAAACGGCAGGAGTGTGTTGGATATATTAGGATTTTCAGGGTACATATTTGGAGAAACGAGAAAAAGAGGATACATGTGAACAATAGAGAAATGATGTCGACTGATACGACTAAAAATGAAGACTGATACAACTAAAAATATCACATGTGTCTAGTCAGAAAAGACAATTTATTTCTATGGAAATCATCTTGTTGATGATGTAAGAAAGCAAGATTCAAGCAAGAACCAAAGTTGGATACTAATCAAAGTACCAACTACAGTGGAAGGTGAACGGATAAACAGATTGAGAACTTGCAGCATATCAGGCTGACGTAGAGAGAATTCTGAGAATTTCCACTGAGCTGGAGATGAAAGAGTCAAAGTCAAAAGTTGACAGACTGTTCTCACTTTTTATAATATATTGCAAGCAACGAGTGAATTGGTTGATAAAGTAGGATCTCTGATAGATCTATATACTTCTATATACTGTAAGTTCATATACTTAGAAGGCAACAATACCTGGACAGCTAAATTGCAGTCAATTGAACAGGTAGATTGCAGGCGACAGTGGATCGCTTACTTCTAACAGTGAGAACCTGAGTCAGCCAGACTGCCAAAGTGATGCCAGAGGTCAAGGATGGAAGATGGGGGGCAGGTGGTTTGGCTGGTAGGTGAGGGCCCGTAGAGTGGAGGAGGACCCGGCTCTTGTGGGTTGGGGAAAGGCTAGGGAAGACAGAGACCGAGGCGCGGACAGCGTCCACTGGTAGAGGCGGGAGATCAGGGTTGAAGCGACGAGGCAAGTAGAAGGTGCGCTGACGGCTGGTGGAGGCGAGAGGAACGGAAGGGATCCATAGTTGACCCTCACGGTGGAATAGCGTATTGGTAGAGGGGGAGTATTGCCACTTCCAGGACAAGTCAACAGAATGCCACGGGCCTAGCGGATTGCTGAGGTGGCGTTGGTTGGAGTGGCCTGTCAGGTGAGTAGAAATCCATTGCTGCCATACAGTCCACCATTGGTTAGACGGACGAGCCATGCAAGGCCATTGTTACCGATCAGAACAGCTGTCCGCTCTTAGCCCTTTCCATGCTTTCAGAGTAATCGCTGTCCCGTCAGCATTCACAATATCAGAAAGAGTGACTGCGTGCAGGAAGATCCAACACCAGTTGAGCCATTTCAAAGTAAGTTGGTCCACCAAAGACTCGATGAACAGGTCAACTAACAGTTGGTCTCCTTGGCGTAGTAGCTGAAGAGAGGGGGAATCAAACTCCAGGTGGATGGGGAGAGAGTCAAGTTCACTCCAAGTCCGCTTTGCCCACGTGTCAGATGCCAGGATGGAGGTGTTGGCATAGACTTGTTGGAAGAGGCCGTAGGAGGTACCGGTTTCAAGCTGATGTGCCTGAAGGACTGCCTCCAGGAAGGCGCCCGTCTTGGTCTGATTGGCAGGATGGCGAAGTAGCATGTCCAAGTGTTTGATGACTTGGAGACCGTACGGATGAGGGACACCCGATACCAGAACGGTTATGGGACTTCGTGCTCGATTATGTGGTTGATACCATGAACATCACCGCCAACTACTCAAGATATTCTGACGGACGAGTGCCGCTTGAAGTGATCACTGGCATCACGCCGGACATTACAGAATACATGGACTTTACAATTTACAGATGAGTATACTACCGAACGGACGGCGCTCTGGGAACAAACGAAATAGGACGATGGTTGGGAGTGTCACACAGAACGGGTCCAATGATGACATATTGGATATTACCCAAGAGTGGCCGCCCAATCTTGACTGACACGGTCCAGAACATCACAGAAGCAGAGAAACAGACCGACGTGGTCAAAGAACAAATGGCGCAATGGACAACTGATGTATCCAAAATCCTTGATGCAAGGACAGGAGACATCAGTTGGGGGAAAGATGAGATACCGCCACAATTGATGTTAGACCTTGAATCGGAAGACGAAGAATTCAAATGCAACTTCAACAAGTTGATCAAGGCCGAAGATGTTGACAATGGTACGCTCCAGGGGACCACAGAGACTGACAATATTGACGCACAGAACTACGTCAACATGGAGATTGGCCTAAGACGGGGACAAGAAGGGGAGTTGCAACGTGCAGTTGTACACAGGAGACTCGTTGATGCAGAAGGAAACCCAATGGGTGTAGCAAACAACAACCAGTTACTTGACACAAGACAGTACAAAGTCGAATATGAAGATGGAAGCACCAAAGTGCTCGCTGCGAACTTGCTAGCAGAGAACTTATTAGCACAAGTGGACGAACATGGACACAGACACTTACTAATGGAAGAGATCACGGAACATTGTTCTGATGAGGAGGCAGTGAAGACAAAAGATGCCTTTTATCCCCTTGCAAGTGGAGCGCAACGAAGACAACACACGACAGCAGGATGAGACTTCTACGTTACTTGGAAAGATGGTTCCTCAAATTGGATACCTCTGAAAGATATGAAGGAGTCTTTCCCGATTGAAGTGGCTGATTACGCAATAAGCAAGGGCATCCAAGACAAACCCGCTTTTGCATGGTGGATCCCACACGTTGTTTGAAAACGAAAGTGATTCCTTGGCAAAGTAAAATTGAAATACTGGGAACGTACGCACAAGTACAGAATACGTATCCCAAAATCGATCAAAGAGGCCATCAAAATCGACAAAGCAAATGGGGACACGCTATGGCAAGACTCAATTCAAATGGAAATGAAAAACAATCGAGTCGCTTTTGAAGAATTCGATGGAGAAGTAGAGAAGCTGATGGGATACAAAAAGATCACGGGACACCTAGTATTTGATGTGAAACTAGGGGAAAACTTCTGAAGGAAAGCAAGGTACTGCGCTGATGGACACAAAAGTGAAGCACCCGCAGCATTGACCTACAGTACAGTAGTGTCCCGCGATTCAGTTCGGATACTACTAATGATAGCAGCGCTCAACGGATTAGACTTGCAATGCGCGGATTTCAAATTGCATTCCTCACTGCACCAGCAATCGAAAAGTGCTACCATAGAAAAAGAAAAACGGAAAACAAAAAGCACGGAATCGATCGGAACTTGCAAACGGTGTTCGTAACCTAAGTACTAGAGTCTACGTAGAAACCGCAGCAGTTTTATCAATTCAACGGCATTTCACTGTTCTACAATGGGAAAGAATACATCTCTGAAGGTTGTTTCAACGGCTGCTAAGAAGGCAGGCAGATCAAAATCTAAGTCGGGTTCTACCTCCAAAAAGAGCGGAAAGAAACGATTGGAAAATGCATCCTCTGTTGATTTACGTCAACCTAAAGACAGAGATCCCAAGATCTCCAACGATTCCGGAACTAA